TAAAATAAATTTAATATACACATAATGTGTGTGTTGCTTACCTGATGATCTACTGTGACGAGTTGAATTAGACCTTTTAACGAGGGACTTTAAAATTGACGTTATTTTAAGAATACCTTCAAAATGCTCACAGACAATCTACCAAAAGAAAATAAAGTTACAAGAACACATTATTACTGACCTGTCTGCTGGCTGAGTGTATATATCCATTATACTCCTTTAATGATATTAATGTATAACTGGTACTAATAGTGACAGACTGCTTCAGTAACCCTCTCATACAGTGAGTGCAGTGTTCAGTACACTGGGGACACTGAGGAGGGAGGGAAGAGGAGGAGCATTCCAATAATAGTTTAAGAGCCTCTTTGAACCTCTCCTTTAGCTAATGGAGGGAAAGAGGGGGAGGGGAGGGAAAGAGAGGGAAAAGGAATTTTTAAAAATGTATCTTTATATTCTTCTTACTTTTGAAATCCTGTTAGTTTTAAGAGTCATCATTAGTCCTTCCACTTTCCCACTCTCCTCCATTACCAGCTGTACATATTTGGATATTATCAATGAGAGATAGGCCCCGCCCCCTGCCAATGCTTCAGTAGATACAGGGAGACCTAAATCTCTCCAAGAACTAAAAAATAAAATAATAAAAATAATTAATTTAATTAGTATAATGTATGTACTGATTGCATTACTTAATTAAAAATAAAATGGCTGCCTACCGTCCATTAGTGTTTAAGATGTCAATCCATTTCTTTCTCTTGTTAGTATATTCATCTCTCAGGAGCTCCAAGTGGGTGTGTAGGTCTCTGAAGCCACGCCCATAAATGGGAGACGTATCGCTGATTGTCTTTTGTATATCGTACTGGGTCTGAGAACATTCCGTCATTATTTCAATTGTCTTCTCTAGTGATCTGTATAAAGGAACTTCTTCCTGAAAGAAAAGGGTTATTATTAAAATGGCCATAGCTCAAAAACTTGAGCTCAGAATCGGTTCAAACTTTCTACACAGCATAAGGACATCAATATGTATCAGAAAATGTAATAAAAATTGGGGTCGATTTCGGAGCCATTTTTTGGAAAAAACCATGGGCTATAGTACAGGGAAATTTTCAGAAATTGGTTCATTTTTAAAAATGGCAGTAACTCAAAACATTTAAGTCGGAATCAGCTGAAACTTTCTACACAGCATAAGGACGTCAATATGTATCAGAAAATGTAATAAAAATGGGGGTCGATTTCGGAGCCATTTTTCGGAAAAAACCATGGGCTATAGTACAGGGAAATTTTCAGATTTTGGCTCATTTCAAAAAAATAGCCGTAACTCAAAAAATTGAAGTCCGAATCAACTCAAACTTTCTTCACAGCATAAGAACATCAATATGTATCAGAAGAAATTATAAAAATAAAGAATTCTCTACTTTTTATTTTTGGTGAAACTTGGCCCATAGTCCAATGTATAACACTTGCAAT